CACACACACACACACACACACACACACACACACACACACACACACACTCACACACACTCACACTCACACACTCACACTCACACCCACTCACACTCACACTCACACTCACACACACTCTCACACTCTCACACTCACACACACACACACTCACACACACACACACTCACACACACTCTCACACACACACACACACACACTCACACACACTCACACTCACGCACACACACACACACACACACACTGTCACACACACACACACTCACACACACTCACACTCACACACTCACACTCACACCCACTCACACACACTCACACTCACACTCACACTCTCACACACACACACACACACACACATAAGACGATAACGGTGAGGTTGCAGTGAATGCTGATGATTCAGACACATCATCAGAACTATGGTCTCTACTTATGCACACTCTTTTTAGCCAATAAAGTGCTCAGTATCATTACATTCGCTGTGATGAACTGACATTTAGACTAAAGGCCGTACCAGCGTTGGTGTGTAATTGACTCAATTCACTGTCAGACACACAGCACGAAGGAATGAAGGCAGACCTGCAGCTCCCTGTGTGCCCACCTCACTCAAGCAAGCCTCACATCTCTCTGTGGCTTCACATCTCATATCAAAGGACAGCATTTATGAAGATGCTTTATGTTTGATAAGGACACACTTCTTTTTTAGTTGCTTGTCCTGACAGAATGACGCCACTGCTAACTCACCACATCCCATTTCTATCTAATGGACGTGCAGGCTGTCCAACGAGCCCAGCGTGGGTTTAAAGCCCCTTTGTGATGTTGAATGACATTTGTTTGATCATTAAGACATCACAGTAACATTTCTATATTCTCCGGTTGTCAATATTACAATTTAAGTGACATAATAGCTTCACCTATAGAGATATACTGTCGAAGTCATTTGACGTCTACTAGGCTACCCGTGTAATATTACTGGCGTATAGGCTTCCTTATGATACTTTACATTATACATTATGCTTATTATGGAACGCCATTATGGGTGAGATAACATGTATTTCTTCATTGTCAATTATAACCGTGTATAACAACATGATTAACAACATAAGGTTGAAATATGCTAATTCAGCAGCTTATTAGCAATTATGATTATGATATTGGTTATTAGGAATAATAATTACAATAATATTTTAAATGCTGTAGTAAAGTTTGAGCACTATAGGCTTATATTCTTTGTTTTAATCATTTCGGTAACTAAAGTCACTTTTCATGTTTGTATTGATGTAATCCCTTCTTCTTCTGAAACAACGTGGATTTATTAAAATACATAGTAGAAGTGGCCTCTCTATGAAGGCTTGTAGCTACTTGTTTGGAGTGTTGTAACGTTATGTTATACTTGTGATTTATTCTTATTTCATTGTCTCTGTTTTACTAACAGTGTTGACACATTGTAGCCTTCATACAGTCATCTACAGCCTCTGTGTACCTTCTGGATCCGGCCGTCCACGTCCAGGTAGATGACCCGGTAGGAGGACGAAGCGGAGCCCATGGTCCCCACTCTTCTTCCCGGCGTCGGTGTTTCGCTGTGCGGTTACTGCTCCGTGGTCCCTGTCACCGCTCCGGTCCAAGTCTCACCGCCGTTAAACAAACCGAGGGTGGTGATAATGGAGTCAGCGGTCCGACAGCATCGCAGCTGCCTGTTCGTCTGTCGAACACACCGATACAAACTCTCTTTTCCTCGGACTCTTACTCCCGGTGTCTCTCCGCTCTGTCACCTCGCTATCTGCCGCATCTCATAAAGCCTGTCCACGCGCGCCCCCGCCTCTTTCATTCACTACAGACCTCCTGGGTCTGCGCGCGCTCACCTACAGGCACGGTGTCTCACACACGCATACAAATACACACACACAGGTAGATTACACAACTTCTTTGTGTTTGTTTTGTGTTCAATGCTTGGGGGAGAACAGTTGTAACGTCTCCATCTCCACCAATCAGAGACAAGTTGGAGTGACGTCTCAGCCCCTCGTGCTGGGTTTCCTGGCTTGGTTTCTGAAGAGTCAGAGTAACAGTACGTGGAAGACAGCAGCGGTATCAGAGTAACAGTACGTGGAAGACAGCAGCGGTATCATAGTAACAGTACGTGGAAGACAGCAGAGGTATCAGAGTAACAGTACGTGGAAGACAGCAGCGGTATCAGAGTAACAGTACGTGGAAGACAGCAGAGGTATCAGAGTAA